GCTTCCTTTCAGAACTTTGTGACATCGAGAACAAGACTGACAATGTGGGAACAATACAGGACAGCAAGGCAAAGACCCTCAACTCCTTCAAGGAGATCTCCGATGGCGCCTACCACGTCATTGAGAAGTGCTACCGTGGTGTTGGCACTCTCGTCAGCGGTCGTGCCTTCCACAAGGACAACTGGACCGTCGTCGCTCGCTGGGATCGTTGCTAAGTGGACTCACCTTCGTCGCTCAAATCCACACTTGAGTTAATACATACTAGAGTCGATTGAGTAGCAAGGTTCAATGGAACTCCCGCTAGGCTAGTTGCTTCTTAGTCTATAGGACTTACAATGAGCAATGCTACACGCAGGGAAGGCCCAGAAACAGATCAATCATTGAATTTATATGCCAGGTGATTAGACAATACAAAGGGGCTCCACCTGTGGCTTCCAGAACGCTTCCACATTACCAAGGAACAGTATAGAATGCGCGTCAACTATGTCTGATCTGACTGTCTATTTGATTACGTAGTTGTCTTGCGGTATCCTCAATGCTTCGAACCTTCTTATCTTGGATCTTGAACTGTACTTAACGGCTCATAAGGTAGTTCCAAATATGACGGAAGTACTTGTGTATGTTCAAATCCAAAGCAGTATCGTGACAGGTTACAAAGACTTTGAAAGATTGCGGTCTATCAACATAGAATTCCCTCACGCGATCAAGACTTTCAAGAACCGCTTCAGCCTCCCCCATCGGGTCTTTCTCCTCGTGTGTACTAATCCCATAGATTATACATGTCACTTGACTTCCTTCGGGGAGATGGTTCATCAGTCCAACCAAAGTCCGTCTTAAGGCATCGATATCAAGGTTTTTTAGTTCTTGCCATTGGATGCCATCTAAGAATGGTAGGTTTATGCAGAGTCTCAACCACCTCATCTTCTCCAGAAGTTGGCATACAAGGCTAGCCAGCATCCCTCTGGGGTGGCATTGGATTACCTTGGCATGGGCGTCTTCTTCTCCAACAAGCGGCTGTCTTTCCGGCCGGGTACGAACCGTTTTGTTTTGAGTGCAGAACCAAGTGAGGACGAGTTCAGGAATCTCTAGCAGCTCTCCTGTTTGTTCTTCTAGTGGTCCTGCGCCACCAGTCCTCTGCTTCTCATGAATATCCTGTGCAAGCTTCTCAAATGGTTTCCCGAGATCAGTCGTCAATTTTGCGACTAAATAAGCCGTCAATGAAACTTGGCTTTCACCAATAAGCGCCGCACAACCATTGAGGAGGAAACTACTGGATTTCCTTTGGGTGTCCCAAAAAAACTTCTGTATTCTTTCGTCGTTGAGAATGATGCGTATACTCTCGTGTTGTTCTGTGTTTAACAGATAGCCTCCATTAATGAAACTATCCACTTCAATCGGAACGAGGTCTGGTTCGTAATGGAGGTGGCGAAATATTTTTGTGATTCCCATCTCAACATCTCCTTTTTCGATCTCGGCGGATGTTGCTGAAAACTGTTTTTCGAAAACTTCCGGTTTCGTTTCCGGATTTTTGGGTGAAGTGGGAGTTGGACTTTGTTGTAGCGGGGAGGACTTCGGTAGAATTTTGGGGACTGTGCTAGAAGGAGGTAAGGGTGATGTCTCGCAACAATCGTTCGGTACTGCTGGAGGTGGAGATGGAGCTGGTGGTGGCCGAGGCGAAGCCGGGGGTGAGGTACGTTCTTCAAGCCGTAAGCTCATTGAGATGGATTCGAAAGCCTGTGTCCCCAATAAAGCAGTTCAGGATTTGGCGTCGGTTGTAGTTCGTATTCCTCAGAAGTCGAGAGGATTCAGAAGGTGAGAGATAGGCAGATCGTTGTTGTCGTCTCCCACCACTGCCCTCCACTACATATATATGGACGAGTCTCGCCACTGTTGAGGGCGCCAAAAGTGTTGAATAAAGGAAGCTGAACAGACTGTTGGAGATGCGCGAAGAGAGTGGCACGAACAAAGGAAACTGAACATAGAGGTTCATCATGACAGATTCAAGTAGATGAAGCTGACGAAACAACTATCTTCATCAAAGAAACATGTTCGATTTCATATCACAGACACTGTGGCAAGTCAGGGGTCTATACTTGGCCTCTCCCGACTCTCGACTGAAAATTCTGAAAAATTGCTTGACAAAGGTGTTTACCAACCGAGTTGGCCAAGCGCGACCTTGGAAATGAAAAATAGTCAAATGATCTGAAAGCTGCTGTTAAATCTCTTCATAGGATCAAGAACCTGTTTCGGAGCTGGCCAATATGAAAGACTGAGAGCACTGAAATCCGAGTCTCCCAATGCCTGGCATCTCCATGCCGTGGCTGCCAATCAAGCCTCCTTGGTACCACAGCCAACCATACTGGAACATGATGTTCTTCGTCCTTGGCTTTTCAGGTGAGCGTATGTCCAAAATATCTTTTATCAATGCCGAGATCCGATTTAGTCGGTTACTTTCAATAGTGAGCGGGTGAACATATGAAGCCGGTCAATTTATGAGTACACCTTTCGGGCCCGTCCGTATAGCTCTCTTACTGCTTTGATACTATGTCAGCCCCTGCCCTGTCTCCTAAAGCGTGAGTTCTTATTATAGAGTTAGGATTCAAGTAAGTCGCAAGGGGAAGAAACATGGTGTTAGCGATAGGAGTCATGAGAATAGCGGCAAGAAGTGATCAAGCGGCAAATCACTTCGTCACCCGCTTGAGGGGTTCTATCAAGAACATGATGGTTTTTAACAATCTCGTTTCTTATGCGCTCTTTCTGGTTGTGCCTTGGGCTAGGTCCGACTTGGGACAAACTCACGGGACCACCTTACCTACTTCAAGATGATCATTTAATGTCTGCTCCGGCGTCTGTATCGCAAACTATGCTATTGCAGGTGCGGAACTATACCCAACGACACCAGACTTCAGTCCATGTTGTAGAACTGGATGAAGTTGACCAACTAGGATACAATAACGACCTAGTACGATGGGGGAAGATAAGTAATTATCTACAAAGCCGTCTCATGTATTTCGTTTGCTTCATGCCCTACTCCCACAAGTGACTCGGCCACGAGTAAAGATATAATAAGAATTCATTTTCAAACTTGGCTAACTACATATTATTGATATGAATATGGGATACACACCCGGAAGGCACTCCACTCGCACCAACCGATCAATCGCTCCCAACCACGGGCGTCGGCACTCTACCCATCAACGATGTTGTCCTTGAAGTACCTGGGATTGTCGAAGTACTCATTGATCTGCGTAGCTCTGCTCTGGCACGTTAAAACGAGTTTGAATGCCACCGGCTCCCCCGACTGTATTCTTGCTAGCGCTGATAGCTGCTTGATAATGTAATCCAATTCCTCTGAAAGTTGATCTGTTTCGTATCGGGTGATCTCGTCGATCACACACATCACATCAGCTCCTGGGTCAAGATATATTATCAGGGCACTGAACAGCTCGCACAAGGCTTTGATCTCGCGGTTGATGAGACGTTCAGTAAAGCTGCCCTCTCGCAACAATGAGCCTTTTAGCTCATACTCGGGGAACCTCTCAAAAATCTCCCGCAAAAGCTGGTTGATGAGGCTACACATCATTCCTCTTGGAGATTCTTGAAGTTTTATTTCGTCCTCATTCGCTCGATTTGGGAAAGGGATGGAGCAGAACCATTTGATTGTGATGAGATTGCTCTGGTACGCACGGTCGTTCTTATTCTTCCATTCCGCAGCCAGGTGAGACATTGGCGAGCTTTTGCCCGTCGGGAGCTTGGGAGTTTGTGGTTCGAAATATTCGGGATTGGCTTTGGGGTCTTCATTGAGGTTCACGAGAACCATGCCGCCCGTCGTTTTTGGCTGGAAGAGCGGTTTCTTGAAAGCCTTTTCTTGCAACTTCATTGCTTTTCGCTTTCGTTCTTCATCGATGCCTTGCCAAAGATCGCTACTGAAGGCGTTTTGATTCCATGATGAGAGTTCGTCCTTCAAAATTTCGTGGTACGTTGCCATTTCCTCTTTCGACTCTCCAGGTCCGAAAGGTAGTTCCATGCCGGAACGGCCGGTCAATGTGTGGATAGCGTTTGCCATGTTGGGAGGTGGAATAGATCAAATGGTTTGTAAGAAGTGAATTCACAGTTGTCAACGATGATGGTAGCGGCTGCGGTAAGTAATGAGTATGTTTTTGGTATCTAATACGCGAGGAAGAGGTGCACATTTATATCAATCGCAAGTCTGACTGTCCGAATGGTCTCCCGGTCTGGACTAGGGTCAGGACAAAAACACTCGAACAGTGGAGGTCGTGTGGGAAGGGAGGTGTGGAGAACCTGGATGATGAATACACAATGGCAAGAGAAAATGGGTAAATACATGCAGGTAAAGTAAAGTGAGATATTACGGTAGAGGAAGGTGAGTGTGGAGGGAATAATCAGTCGCGAAAGACCAGGTAGAAAGAGAAAAGCGACAACCTCAGATAAAGGGGATGGGTCTGATGAATTTTACACACATGTTCGATTGCATTGCAAGGGATCACAAAGCTCCTGGACCATCACCAGAACTTTGAACAGATGTCAAAATATGGATCCACAGTGTTAAATCATTCGTCCTTGTGAACAAGCTTGAAAGGTTGAGGATGTGGTGGCTGTCCGTGTTGTTATTCAAACGCTCAATGAGAATCTACCTTCTATCCATGTATTAGAATGCCCGATGTCATCACGAGTAGCCTAGGGTGTCGATCATGGGATTCTAGCTTTGATGGATTTCGTCAAGCTATAGCATCATTGTCGAAAAGAAATTAACATCTCCTTTTTTAGCAGTGTCACCTAAGCTGGCTGGATCACTAGTGTGTTATGGAATTAGTAACTCAGATGCACTGATGCAGCTAAATAAAACGCACATGTCCGCATGGTTGTGGCTGACTTTTGAGATCAAGCTTCTTGTCAAATTGGTAAGTATCAGAGTGCCGCCACCTTAATTTCCATCAAGTATAGTCGTAGCAATCCATCTGACCATCCATCCCAGAGTCCTAGTACGCCATGGACATGTTAGATATCGCCCACTGTGCTGATTCATCTGAGCCCGTGCTGCCACCCAAGTCGACGATGTTGCTGTAGCCAAAATGTTGCGCCATACCCAAAGCTCTATTCTGACAAGTTGTGAGAAGTTTGAAAATTTGCGGTCCGGTGCAAAGTTTCTCAGCCAACCTTGCCAGCTTCCCCATGACTACGTTCGTGTCGCTCTCCAGAACTCGCGTCTCGTACAAGACAATTTCATCAACTATACATAATAAGATACTCCCTTGAGGAAGCTGCTCTACTAGTCTGGCAAAGACCGAACACAGAGTCGTCGGTTTGAGCTGCTCCACATGCCGCCACTTGGAATCGTAGATAAATGATAAGTCGACCTCTACGCCACTGTCGATCATTTTTTCGAGAAGCTGACCGATGAGGCTCGTCATCATTTTGCTGGGGCAGCGATCCGTTCTAGCATTGTTGCCTGCCACGAGGGCTGGCTTATGCTCCGCGCAAAACCAATTGATGACGTAGAACGGTGTCGAGGTATCCCCTGCAGCCATGAAGCTTTGCGTCGCTTGAGCAGCTACAAGACTGAGCGGTGAGATACCGTCAACGGCAGCGGTGTCGTCTCTTCCATTGACGAGAAGACAGCTTGACGACGTTGCATTCGTCATGAATAACTTGAAACTTTCGTGTCGTATGAGGGTGGCTGCTTTGGCTTTTTGTTTGCCAGTCAGTCTACTGCCAAGACGAATTTGAGTGGCCACGTCCCGTGGAACAAGGTTTGGGTCATATTGAAGAGATTCAAGTAATCGCTCTTGTGATCTTCTAGCCTCCTCTTGTCGTTCGTCGGCATTCGCCCACGTGTTCGGGGATATCGATGTCCCGGGAAGGATGTGGGTTGCGTTCACCATGTCGTAAGCCGAAATTCGTGGTTGTGAGGAACTAGATTGCTGATCAGATTGTTCTACATGAGATCACGTTAGCTTAACGCGTGGAATGTCTGTCCAAGAGGGGGAGGATGCAAGCAAAAGTGGAGGGGTAAGGGAGGATAAAGAATATGACCAGTTGAGTGAACATAGGAAGTTAAAGAATCAAGGAGCGAGGAATACGGGTGTTGAACATGCAGGGAAAGACTGGAGAGCTTGGGTACCTAAACCTAGATTCGTCTCCAGTAGTTTGAAAAATCTCTGAAAAAAGGGGGCCAATGTCTTCGATTGTTGATTCATTTCAGATAGAAGGCGGATGCTCTCATGTGTTTCTTGAGCGTGACATTGCTGAGCCTCGTCTCTGAACGCTCTGACCTTAGTTCTGACGTTCTCAATACTTTTCTGGAGATCTTCTTGGTATGCTCCCTGCTTGAGCCAAGCATGGGTCACATTTTCTAGATGATTAATTAGTTAGTAAGTCATAGCCTGCTTGGGAAAGATCATTGTTGATTAGTATCTGGAAATCGGAAGGCAACCTACTGAGCCTGCTGTTGAGAAAGAACTGCATCACATGAATGAGTGCCTCTAGAACGGCTTGGAACAACTCAAAGCTTCTTTTGTCAAGACGGTGGCCTCCCATGTTCCGATACATTGCCATGTACTGCCTTGAACTTTCCATCATATCTGGAATTTGTGCCAAGAATTCGAAGATGATCTCCGGGGTGTTGGAGTAGGTCGAGGCAGCCTGGTCTATCGTTAATATAGGGCTTCCCTTGCGTACGTCACCGAAAACATAAGGCAAGGCATACCCCGATGAAAAGCTTGAATACTCCACAGATACTGATCAAAAAACGCGTAAGTGCAAATTTGCATGAAGTCGGCAGGAGTGGCTAATGTCGACATTACCTTGCTCCGTAATCTCCCATCGGCAACAAACTTAACCAAGCTTCCAGAGACTCTGAATGCCGCCCAATTCTATCAATGAAGACCATCCTTTTACTCTCCTGGTTTGGGCTACTTCTCCAATGCTCTGCAGTCCTCTCAACCTCAGTCAAAACTTGAGACCAGCTGCTACGTCGCAATTCCGATGCCGCGTCGAGTGGGATGTGGGCTGCGCTTTTCTTTTTTGCAAGTTTCTGTTCCACTTGTGTCATTAAGGCAAAAAGGCGTTCCTTTTCCTCATTCGCCTGCTCCCACATTGCTGTGCTTTTGTTGATGAAGAACTTGTTAGTTGAGCCAGTCTTACATGTAATGAAGATACAGATGTATTGAAATAGAGAGTGGCAAGCGTCTACCTCGCATCTTTCAGCTTCCATGCTTCATCTGCAGAAACGAAACTTCCGCTTTGCTCGCTATACACTGGTAGTAGCTGTCCCGGTGGACAGATTTGATTCTCGATGAATGATACTGCCTCTTTTTGAGGGTAGCGATCCCTGGAAAGGAGGAACGAATCTCTCTGGCCACTCTCCATGGTTTGAAGTTAATAACCATGAGAGTCTTGGGAATAGACTGTTAGTAATGATCAGAACGAAAGGACTGGGCCTGCGTACATCACATCATCTCCAAGAGAAGGCTAGGGATGATTATGAGTGCAGGACATGTGGCAATTGGATTCCGACACCCTAGCTGTAAGGGGCTCCTGTTGCCTCAATAGCCGCTGAATATTACATGACTGCATGGTGGTATCAATCTCTATTGGCTGTGCGAAGTTTGATCAACGCATTCCAAGCAGGCTGTAGGCAGGCTTACGGCAGGCTGTGACCCTCCAACTATCTAGTGTGGTACGTTACATGCAGAGGACGATAGTGCTTCTAAAAATCAGCCAATGTGGGTGTCTCATTCTTCTTTACCTACCAGTGGCATTTGCAGCGTCACTAAATGCCGGTATTGACTGGATACAGGCAGTGCGAAAAGAGATGACACCGAAGCCCCTTGCTAACCGAGAGCCTAGGACCATCACTGCTCAAGTGTGGCGGTGTCTTCCTACACATTTGAATCCGGTTTCGGTCTATAGCCCCGTCGTACTTAAAGAAAACGCTGTCATACGGGGGATTTCTGCCTTTTAGACCTTTCCTTCTACGGCTTTCTCATCACCATTGGTTTCTGCTCAACCTACCTTACCTGGATATGCCGCCAGAACTATCGCAAGCAGCACGAGAAGATTCTCTCATTGTCACGAACAAGGATATCCAGCAAAAATATCGCGAGGAAATCTCCAAGGGTAATGAAATGCCGGAGTCTATCTGCGGTTCCGAGAGTGAGAATGTCGACCCGACGAGCCAAAAAGCCGATACCCCGAGTCCCGAACAAGATGGCCACTCATCAGCGGATCAAGAGGAGGTACCCTTAGAAGACACAGTGGAAGAGGATGAAGGTGAGGTAATAAGTACGGCCTGGCGAGCGGCGTACCCGAATGCGACAGAGGTGCGTCATGTATTCGAAGAGGAGAAAGAATCCGGCCGGATGAAAGTGCGATACCATCAAGCGTCTCTACACCACACATTCACCAACTTGCGGATTGAAGATCTTGAGCGCGGTCTCAAGGAGCTGAAGGCTGCTTTTGAGAATCGCGATGACACTTGGGAAGCCCCGAAAAGGACCAAATTTCCCATTCATCGACATGAACTGCGGAGGTCATACGCAAATCAATTTCGCATCACGCGGCTGACGGCTATGCTGCATTGCGCTCAGCAACCAGCCCTAGAAGTACAAGTCACCGAAAAGATTCCACCTACTCTTTTGACCTTGGACAATGAATCGCAGAGTCTGTCTTACCAAACGCCTGGGAATGCTGAAGGCATACCGTTGCAAAGCGGCTCTCTGAAGACCCCAGAGCGTCTGCGAATCAGGTCGTGGTCTCTTTTGTCACATCTCGAGAAGATAACTGGTCGAGCTATAATGGGCCTTGCACAGTCGACTAAGATGGACGGTGTAAAGGTGCACAGCGGCGTCGCGTTTCTCCGGCCTTTCAAATTCTTCGCTGAGCACCACGATGCAATCAGGAAGAGTCATGCTGAACTGGAAGCTTGGATGCACACTGGCACACCCTCTAAGCACCGAAAAGAATCTCAGAAGCAAGCAGTTGAGCCTATTCACGAAACTTCGACTCAGCATGACTTTGATGATAAGAACCTTGTGGAAGATTTGAAGCTTCTTGTCCACTTTCTTGATAACGACCTGAAGTCCACCTTGGACCTGCGCCAAAAGGTCAAGGATGGAACAGCGCTTGAAATCGAATATGACGATCTTTGGCATCTCTTTGCACGGGGAGATATTGTTATTACGCCTTCTGACCCCAATCAAGCTTATCGAGTCATCAACATGGCGGGCGGTCGCGAGCCACTGCAGTACGAAGCTAGGTACCCGCGAAGTGACGTTGAGAAACCTGTTCCAGTGGACGGTTTTGTTCTAGACTGCTTAAGCTTTGGATCCGATGGCACCGCATACATTCCAAAACTACAGAGACTCCCGGTCCATCGATTCCATGGAAAACGATTGATTACATCGTTACCCGTTTATCCTTTGCGGTTCGACCCGAAGCAAAATGCATTACGAGCCGAATTCGAAGCTATGGGCACGAGGTTCCTGGAATTGACTCGAGAAACAAGTTGCCACAAGCTGGCTCGTGGCAAGACACTCGATGAGCCATCTCATGACTTAGACAATCAAGTCATAGTCGACATGCGCCTCGCGATGACGGCTAAAGCTGAGTGGAGAATTAAGACCAGTATATCGTCGGAAGAGCTCACACGAAGGGACAAAAGGGAGACTATTGAAGGATCCTGGTGTTATCATCGTGAACCAGGTTGTTGCGGTGGCGATGTCATTTTTAACGACCTCGTATACGATGAAGAGCATGCTGCCGCCTTCGGTCAGAAACTGACCAGGATGTTAGGTCCGCTGCAGGAAGAAGATCTGACAGAAGAAGATTTGATGTTAATGCAGCCTTACGTCTACGCCTTCGTTCTTCGATCTAGACAGTGGGCAACCATCTGGACAACAGACCTGACAGAAGTTATGTTTGAGAATAACTTCAACGACCTCGTCATTTCTAAAGACCACAAGGAGACTGTCAGGGCACTGGTAAAAACGCACGAGAACAAGCGGGCCGCAGAATCATCTCCTGGCGTCGCACGTAGCGTTGGAACAGCGCTGGATCTTGTCAAGGGCAAAGGGGCTGGCCTTGTCATTCTTCTCCACGGTCCACCTGGCGTGGGGAAGACGTCGACGGCTGAGTGCGTTGCCGATGATACCCATCGACCTCTCTTCCCCATTACATGCGGCGATATTGGAGAGACGGCCGCCGATGTCGAGACCAACTTGCAATATAGCTTTAAGCTTGCACATAAATGGGGTTGCGTACTGTTGCTGGATGAGGCTGACATCTTCCTCGCGAAGAGAGTTCGAGACAACATCCGTCACAATGCCGTGACGAGCGTATTCCTTCGCACACTTGAATACTATGCCGGAATTCTGTTCCTTACCTCCAACCGAGTCGGAGCAATCGATCCAGCATTCAAGTCAAGGATCCAGATGTCTCTCTCCTACAACGATCTGGATCTCCCGGTGACTCTCAAGATTTACGAGAAGTTCATCAAAAGAGCCAAAGAAGAGCAGCGCAGTACGGGGACCCAGAACTTCAAGATAAAAGAGAAGGAGATCATGAGCTTTGCCGAAAAGCACTACAATCGACTTGAGCTTGAAGGACGATACACGTGGAATGGAAGGTATGGTTATGTCCCGCTCGCCCAGCTTTTTAGTGATGTCTCTCAATGTCTAGAATCGCTTAGTTTACTGACAACCAAATGATGTAGACAAATCCGAAACGCTTTTCAAACAGCCATCGCTCTAGTTGAGTACCAATACATATCAAAAGAGGCAGACGAGCCCAAACCCAGTCTTGGCAAGAAGCAATTCAAGAAGGTTGCAAGGGGGTTCAAAGAGTTCGATGACTATCTCATCAACGTGAACGGAGCGACTGAGGCAGACGAGGCTAGACGCGAGGGCTGGCGATATGATGTTCGAAAGACCGTATCCTCGCCGACGCCGCACAGATCCACCCAGGCTAGTCGCTTCCAGCAGGGTTCGAAACATCCTGCGCGAAACCTCGAGTCTGAAGATAGCTCCGAGACAGAGAAAGAAAGTGAAGATGATGCTGAGGACGAAGTCAAAGATAGAAGAGGATCGGAGAAAAAGGCTAACCCCAGCACCGTTGGAAGTCAATCTTTCGCTACCGCTGGAGCGTCCCTTGACATGGAACAGTACCAACAATTTCTCAAGTTCCAACAGATGATGTCGGGTGGTGGTAAATAAGAGTTAGAAATTGCAGTGAGCATACGAATGACTAGGAAAGTGAAAGTAGTAACAACAAGGACTAGACTTTGAGTTTTATCTCCTCCTGCCATGCGGTAACCATGAGATTGATCCTACCGTAAATCAGGAAACACACGAGAAATGGCCGGTTTCTTCATTTGATTGCCGAGCAAGATCCGGTTGACATCACTGATTTTGCGCACTAGACATTGCGGCCACGTGAACTGCCATGCGTGCCATGAGGCAAACGAACGCAGGCAGCATCTGGAACACAGCCTTACAGCTCCACTATGCTGCAACCACATGACGTTCACAGATTTCAAAGCTTTGAACCAACCAGGCTCTCAGTTGCGCAGTTGGTTTTGGCCAAGAGCTTGTTGGAATTCTTACTTCTGCAAGTCATTCGTTTCCCCTGAAAACAGCATCTCGCAAAAAGGTCCAGCAGACGCCTTATGGCGGTCGCCTTGCCAGCGAAAGCACAACATTGGCCAGTAAGCGGGAATGCGGCATAACCGAAGTGATGCCTGGCCACCTATCAGAAGGTGGACATGGTTGATATATTTCAGCCGCGGCCCAAAACATCAGATATGCTCGGATCAGGCTAGCGTGTCTTATGCCAGCTCCACGCCACGGCTCTTTCGACAACGCTCGTAAACGCACCTGCGCGGCCCGGCCCCTAGACTACCTATGCAGCGTAAGCCGGTGTGATAGTCAGCCACTCCGGAGGCTGAGGGCCGAACTGGTTGCAGCAATTACTCGTCGGAATGCAGAAGGCTATCAAGGCTGGCTGAGTAGGCTGTCTGGCTTGGTGATGGGACTCGGCGTCAGACTGCTGACCATCTTGTCTTTGATTACACCAATCAACGTCCGTCATTCACCTAGAAAGCCTACGATCAACTGTTGCACAACTTTTCCCAATTGAAGACGACTCTGCGGCTGAGCAGTATGTAGCCTGCCTTGGGGGTTCCGTGTAAATGGGGTCCATGCATGTGATGCTGATTGATTCTTATTTATTGCTGTTGGCTGTCCTGTTTCTGCTGATCAAGTCCTTTGCAACTCTGCTTCTTCTAAGAGACACCTCTCAAAAAAATAATTATTTACTTTCCGTTCTAGAAATCTCAACCATGGTTCGCATTGAAGATTTCGAGGGTATGCAAT